CTTGGGCTGCCTCTTGTGTCTTAACTGGTTCTGCAACTTGTCCTGTAGCCCACAGAGGGCATATTTCATGTACTGCTAGTTGTCTCTGGGGACTCTTTAACTTTAGAGCCATTTTTTTTTTCCCTTCCAAGTGATGAACTTTGTGTTTGAAAGGAATAAGGAGTGAAAGTCTCCTTCATGATCCAGGCGGGTATGGAAAGGTGCTGCTACCCACATCTTCTTGACTTTCTTTCTCTCATGACTTTCTTTAGCTCATGGTGTCTCCTTTGCAGTCAAAAGGAGACAGACCATTAGTTTCAGTATTTGTGATTTATGAGTACTAAGCATGAGTTCCTGGTCTGCCCCCCTTCATTTCAAGGCCAGAGTTAATTTCTATTATATGTTTAGTCTAGGCTAATCCCTTAGGGCACAGTAGAAACCATGGGGGCGTGGAGCATGAGCTGGGAATGGCAGGGCTGATTCTGGGTGCAAAAACCTAGAATCCTTTCTCATGTGCAACACTGTCAACTGTAGAAGCTAGAAGAGTTAAACTTCCAGAGATTACTTAATATCTTGGGTTTTCTCATTCCTTCACCACGCACCATCCACCAGTCAGATACATGCGTGTGATCACCAACGTACACTGCCAACCGGAAGAGTCAGACAGATCAGCTGTGGGTTCTTGAGCTGTCTGTCTCTAGTTCATCTCCCCTTTTCAACCATTTCAACAGACTACTTGTTGGAGTTCTGAGATGACATTTTATGGTTTTATATAGATGTGTCTTTTTAAAATAGTTCATGTTTGGAGAATTCTTTTGTACTCATTTGTTTTTTGTCCAAGAACCATGTCTATTTTTATAACTTGAGTGTGAGCTCTGTATATTCTCACATTCTGTATACGGTATCCATTTTCTAGAGAACCCAGTAGCTTTTATACAGGCTCTTCTCTTCTTACCAGCCCTTGTGGTTTCAGAACCAGCTTTATTTTATTACAAGTACACTAATGACAACTAACTCATGTTCCAACCCTACCAGCCATTTTAGCTGTGGAGACAGTTTAACGTAACCTATGTGATTGCTCCTCTAGCAGACAAAAGGAACTCAGAAGACACCTGATGTCTTTCATGTGGTCTCCTCCGATTGAAGAATTTCTCATCAGAAATGCCTGGGAAAATTTGTGAAAGTCAGTTAAAAGCAAGAATAATTCATTATGAAAGCAAATAGAAGAAACCAATGTATTCCTCCGTGTTTCCAGCCCCTCCCCCGGAAGTCTGGAGAAAAAGTCCTCATGTCACCTGTTTCTCTGTTGCATGAATTTCAGTGTTTTGCTCTAAGACAGCATGGGGTTATCAGGCCAGAATTTGTTACTGTATTTTCAATACAATTTATCTTGAATGTCTGTCTCTTAAGTCAGTTTTTATTTGTCAGGTTTTTTTTCCCCCAGCATTCTTACCATTATGTAGAATTTAACTTTGCAAAGAAAATTAAATCACAAAAATTTCAGAGTCCTCTACCTTCTTTGTCTTTTATCTCTATCTCCTTTGGAAAAGGAGCTGCATGGCCTCAGTGCCTCCCTAGAAAGTCTGAGTTGAGTTAATAGCTCGTTAATCTCACATGCCACGGGTAATAAATAAGCACACCCACAACAGGATGTCACTCCAGTAATGTTTGTGTAATATGTGTTGGTAATCCTCATTCCACTTTCTAAACAGAGGAGCCTTCTAGGAGGAGTGCGCATCAATTCATTCTGGTTTGAATAGTCTCCTATTTTAAACAATAGGAGGCCTCCTGACTCATTCAGAGTATTGTCCCCTACTGGCATTTGTGTAGGACAGTCCATCCTGCCACTGCTGAAGTTCTCTTTCTCTGCGAAAACTAAAGAACTAGAATGTTTAGAGTTCATGAAATAATCTCTAAACCACGTTAGATTACAAAAAATGACCCTCTAATAAATACTAAGTTAGTAGAAAGCTCAATTCCTTAAAGTCTTCATTTACAAGCTGAAGACTTTGCACTCAGTTAAAGTAGCTGGAATTGGAACTTTACAATCTCTACCTAAAGAATTTAGGTTAAACTTACGTGGTAATGACAGCCCTACTTACTGACCAACTTTTCAGCTCTTTTTGACAGATGGTGTAAATTAAGGAAAACATCTTTATGCCCTACATCCAATTCCAGAGGACTCCAATTACGTAAAAGTATTTAGGTATAATTATAATAATTTTCATTTTTCCATAAAATAAACATTATGATTGCACACTCCTTCTATTATCTGAATTTATGTAAGAGGTATAACTTGCTTAAAATATATATGTAAAGTTATATTTTCTTAGAAACATGGGTGTTTGCAACCATTGCTTTCAAAGAGATTATTACCATGTATTCTGTTTTACAATATGTTTTCATGAAGACTGTGTTGTACCAGAGGCTTCTGATTATCAAAGTGATAACCAGTTTTAATTGCCTGTATGTACCAGATTTGTGAACTAATTAAAAAAAAAAACCCAGAAACAAACTATGAATAAAATGGAGTTTGCAAACTAAATACCATTAATCGTTTTCACTTGTGTTTATCAACTGACGTTAATCAATGAAGCCATTTACATTTAGTGAAAGTAAATTTCCTCAAGTGGTCTCCCAGCAGCATGTTTACTCATTACTTGGGGATTGGAGATAAGGATTACTTAATGCTACAGATACTACTATTGGTATTGCTAATGTAAGTGCAAAATAGGTTATTACTAGCAAAGAAAATTCATTTATTCAGCGCTTCTTTGACATTATATATAAATGTGCAAACAAATACGAATTCAGGACTCTAAACTGTATGACAAGATAGTCTCCAATGCAAAAGCATGAAACATTAACTAGAGATGCTCAGAAATGTATATTTAAAAGAACCAGAATTTCCAAATTAATTTGAAAGCTGCCTTCCAAAATTTAAGTAGCCTTCATTTATCACTTTAAATGTTTCATGCATATATTGAATCTTTAGCCCTGGGTGCTTTCACTTGACTTCCAATACATATTTTCAGCTATTAACCACAAGCCATTTTAAATGGGTTACTCCTTTACTGTGCTAAAATTAAATATGTAAAGAGCTTAACTAAGAATCTTTTGTTACCAACTAATTCCTCTTTACATCTAACCTATTCTGTATCAGTAATATCATCATTTTACTAGTCTCAGGACTGATGTGACAAACCTAAGTATTCCTAGCCTACCTCTGTGGTAAACTTAACCACTCCTGGACTATGTGATCTATGCCTTCCTATGATTTAGCTACACCTGTCAAAAGTATATTCAACGTGCAAACTTGCTATACACTGAAAAGTGCAAAAGAAGGTTTAAGCAAACCTACCTAAGTAAGTGAACAGCAAACTGAAGATCATCTCATACAAAGGCTAATTTGAGATCCAGTTGCTAAATTCAAATGCAGTGGAAGTACTGTAGTAAGATATCTTAGCCAATTTAAGTTTTAAAACATTTATAATTTATAGTTACAGTATAAACCCTTTCGTTAATCACAATTATTCTTCCACTGCTTCTTGTAATTGTTATTCGTAAGTAGTTTTACATAATTGCAATAATATAACTGCTCTACTCAGTATTATTTCAAATGTGCCTTCCCATTTAGTCTGGGAATTTTATATTTTTCAATTGTATTGCCTGCATATTCTGTTAGACAGCTGTGCCTGCTTGATCTTTTCCTAATTTTTGGATAGTTGTTTTTTCAATTCTTTTTCTGTTATAAAGATACTGAAACTTTTTTTTTTTAACTTTGTTTTGGATACCGTAAGGATACTGGAATAGGATTCGGGGGAAAGATGTAAGCCTTTTCTCCCCCTGATTCTTATTTCCTACTATATTGCCATCTCTAAAAATAACTAATATTCAGTGCCCCCAGAGTGCATCTTCCTCTTCAATCTCATTACTACTGAGATTTTAGACTTTTTAACTTTCCAATTTAAGTAGGTATGCAATACTACTTCCTGGCTGTCTTATTTTTCCAAATGTTTAATTACTAGCAAAGTTGAACATGTTTTCAAATGTTGGTTTTTCCTCCTACTTCTGTTCTTGGTGTTTTCGGACCATCTGTACATTGGGGACTTAAGAGACATACATACAGCACGTGCTTCCTTCTAGTCTGTCACCCTCAGCTCAGAAATGAGATATTTCCTAATTATAGGATGATAAACCTATAGTAAATGTGAACCTAACAAATGTAGGTAGAAGGAAATTCATGGCAAATCAGAAAAGCAAATCTGTTTCGTAAACCTTTTCCTTCGTACAGAGAATATGGTAATTCTGCTACCGTACTGCTGAATGTGGGAATGTATCTTCCACTTGGCTGCCCTTCACACCTTTCACTCTTGGCTGGAAAACCTGTTCGCCTCGCTTTTCCGTTGGGCTACAAACCTAAAATTAAAACTGTAACCCAACACAACCTGCGCGGGGCAAGGCCTCAAAGCTGGTAGCCCCTGGGTCTGCAGAGGCTAAGAGCGCATCAGCAGAGCACGGACGCCCTTGGGGAGGCCCTCCCTCCCGTCTCCGCAGCAGCGCCTAGACCCCACCCCTCGGCCTAAGGCTCTCGGCACCCAGCTGGTTCTCGGCTTCCTTCCCAGGTTTTCCTCAAAACCTAGCCAACCCCTCAGCCCACCTCAGCGCACTCCGCCTCTATGAGCCCCGCCATCGCCGCCTTTTTCCGCCCCTCCCTTTCGGCCGCGCCCTTCACAGCACTCAAGTCCCGTCCTCCCCTGAGATGCCGCCACCACGACCCCCCCCCCCACCTTCCACTCCCCTCCACGTCTGATTCTCCCAAAATCCGCTTGCGGAGGCTCCGCTGGAACGTCCCTGCCCCTCGTGGCTTCAAAGTGGCCGCCCCCACTCGCTCTGGGAACCCTCTTCCCCACCGCCGCCGGGAGGACCTTGCGTCCCACGCATTTCTGGTCCGCGGAGGGGGTGGGGTGAATCTTTGGAGCCCGTTTTACGACAATGTGCGGCTGCGCGGCGTGGCTGACGGCAACGCCGCGCTGCTCTCGGAGAGGTCACTCCGGAGACGGCGTTGGTTTTTGGGGTGTGGGGTCCGCGGCGCTATGTGGCGCGTCTGTGCGCGACGGGCCCGGAATGCGGCCCCAAGGGCAGGATTCGGAACTCGGTGGACGGCCTTGCGGGAGGAGCCCGGAGCTCCGTGCGTGACCCCGCGGGCTGGCTTGGCTCCGGCTCGTTGCAACAGCGCGACCACCAGGTATGGCAGGGTCCGGGCACTCTGCGGTTGGAGCCCCAGCTCGTGGGCCACATCGCGGAATCGCGTCCTGCTGCAGCTTTGGGGACCGCCTGGCCGCCGCTGGTATAGTCTCCCCCCTCATCAGAAGGTGAGCCCCAGACCTGTCCTTCGCGGGACCCCGTTGTCCTTCAGGCCGACTTGTTGGCTTGGGATCCTTCCTTTGAGGCCGAAGTGATCCCCCACCCTCTTCCCCATATACTGTATGTCCTTTTCCCTTCTCCAGTACCCAGCTTTGCTGTATGTAGCTCTTGAGCTTTCCTCCCCTGATCTATTCCATTGGAGGAAGAGCTCCAAGCTTCCCCTTCCTGATCTGTTCTATTGAAAGAAGAGCTCCAACTCTGGGGTTGTATGTGGAATGCCTGCTGAGTACGTGCTTTGTTAGACCCATAGGACTGTGGAGCAGGAAGCCTGTCACTGAAGAGCTGGTGACAGGAATTCCCTTAACATCCCTAGTGCCCAGTGTGTGTTGGGACTCATAAACTCTATGTTAAATTAAATTGAATTGGATGAAACATTAAACCAGACTGAGAGTTAGGTATCTCTTTTTAAATTTAGGTGTTTCTCCTTTTTCTCCCCCAGGTTCCATTGCCCTCTCTTTCCCCCACAATGCAGGCAGGCACCATAGCCCGTTGGGAAAAAAAGGAAGGGGAAAAAATCAATGAGGGTGAACTAATTGCAGAGGTGAGTTGTTTTAAAATATGAAAATGAAGTAGAAGGAACTGGTTTAGCTAATTGACTGAGCATTAACTTTCTGAGTGAGTAGTTATCCCTTTTGCTTAAGAAACTTAGATGTTTCTTACAACCTGATATTAGAGAATATTGGTTAGCTAAGTTGTCAGCCGTTAGCCAAACTGATTTTAAGCTGAGATTTTTTTTTTAGTAATTCCTTTTTTCAAACCTGTGATATAATTCTTGTTTTCACATGACTGTTGAACCGTATGATTTTAGACTCATGCTTATAAACTTCATGCTGGCAGCACAGCCCTAAGCTCCTGCTTTTGTGTTAAAAGGTTGAAACTGATAAAGCTACTGTTGGATTTGAGAGCCTGGAGGAGTGTTACATGGCAAAGATACTTGTTGCTGAAGGTACTAGAGATGTTCCAGTTGGAGCAATCATCTGTATCACGGTTGAGAAGTGAGTAGTAGCATGGTAATTTGTGGAATTTAGGTGCTTAGTGTGGAATATTTTAACCCAGAATCGAGAAATTAGTTAAAGTTTCTAAGACTATTAAATCTGCTCTATTAACCCCCTTATACTTACGCATTCATTCTTGTCCTTAGGCCTGAAGATATTGACGCCTTTAAAAATTATACATTGGATGCTTCGGCAGTGCCTACCCCACAAGCAGCCCCAGCACCAACCCCTGCTGCCGCTCCTCCACCACCTACACCTTCTGCTCAGGCTCCTGGTAGCTCATATCCCCCTCACATGCAGGTGAGGCTCAGCCCCTGGGTGTTTGCTCTAGAAAACTTATTACATATTTATTATTTTTCATAGATGGCTTTCACATCCTGGAAACCGGCATTAATGACGGCTAGTTTTTGTCATTTGAAAGAAAATAGAGATTTAAACATGAAAATTGACAACTTTTATTCTTAGCTGTTATTTCCAGGTGTGTGAACTTGGGCAGTTCTTTTAACCTTTCTCAGCCTCAGTGTAGCAGACAGGATAATGCTTGGCATTTCTTGTTCAAGAACGTTATGTTAAGTTTTGAGGATGATTTGTACTTAATATCTACTCCCCATGTAAATAGAGTTTTTGGTTGGCTTCAGGTGCTGTCTACCAAATGAAAGTCCCCAGTTGGTGTTTTCCCTTGATCTTTAGTATTCTGTTTTCTAAGAGTAAGTGAAGTAGTCTAGTAGTATTAAAAAATGACTAAACTAACAATGAAGAATAAGTGTAGAGAATACATGTATAATAGCATTGTAACAAAGCTGAAGGCAGTAAATATAGTCATTATTGACTGTATTAAAAAAATCATTTTCTACAAAACTAAATTAGTTTATTAGATATAAGGATTATCCTGTGTATATTTGTGTGTTTCAGACATTGGAAATGGATTAAAAACCAGCTGTCCTTTTTCTAAAGGATTAAGACTGGAACTTTTCCTTCACTTAGTTTATTTGTACAAATTTTTGTACAGGGATCTTTTTCTTTTTTGGATATCATGTTCTACTCTGTGGTCTGTTATTAACAATCACTCATGATGAAAGTTTTGCCTGGTGGTCAGTTCACACATTTATTTCATCCTGTTAGCAAATACTATCTCACTAATTAGGCTTAGTTCATTTCTCTGTATTATATGTCTATGGCTTTGTTTCCGAGTGTTAGGATTCTGTCCTAATTAGCCTTTAAGATACTGTATAGAGGTTATTGGATCCACTAATTTTTTTTATAGTATTGTTTTTTTTAAGTTTTTAAAACTTTTTATTTTGGGGGGGTAATTAGGTTTGTTTATTTATTTATTTAATGGAGGTACTGGGGATTGAACCCAGGACCTTATGCATACTAAGCACCCACTTTACCACTGAGCTATACCTTCCCCACGTGTATCCACTAATTTTTAAGTAGATGAAGATGACACATTCGGACCAAGGAAAACATTTAAAAATTTTTCTAAGTAGAGTTTAAGTTTTGTTTTACTATTTTTTTCATCTTCCTTAGACATCACCAGTTGAAGTGATTTTTGTCAGCATAATTCTGTTAGATACAAAACACTAAGAAGATAGCAGGCAAAACCCATAACTGAGGAAGGATACAAATTCAGTGGAAATACAAGCCGTGTAACTGGGAAAGCAGCTTTTAATTTAGATCAGCCAATCTGATGTTTAGATTTTGCTAGGGTGGAAGTGACTATTGTAAGAACAGTTCTTAGTATTTTTTTTTATCTTGGAAAGGTATCTGGGAAGTCTGGGAGAAATGCAGTTTCTTCTAAGTGAAAAGATAGATGCTAATACAGAGCACAGCAAAATTTTAATGGAAAAGTCTGGACTAAGGTCATTCTGTGAAAATGAAAAATTCTAGCTTATCCTAAGTTAAAAAGATGAAAAGATGCTCCGAGTTTAAATACTTATTGAGGAATTAATTTTAACTGTCTAGAAAGAAATCTTTTACATCTGCCCATCATTTTTAACTTTGGAGGGTGGAAAAGTATTTGGAGGGTGGGTCAGAGTATTGCTGATACCATAAATCTTGAGATTTGAAAGATTTGCCTGCCGGGACACTATTGAGGTACTGAGCTTTTGCTGTTGTGGGGGCATCAGGCAAATGGGAACTTGGATTGTCGTAGTCACTGTCGTTCCATAAAACTGTTTGCGTGCTTGATTGTGTTCAAGGCTTCCTAGTATTAAGCAAAAATACGTGTTTCTTTTTACAGGTGCTTCTTCCTGCCCTCTCTCCCACTATGACCATGGGTACAGTTCAGAGATGGGAAAAAAAAGTGGGAGAGAAGCTAAATGAAGGAGACTTATTGGCAGAGATAGAGACTGACAAGGCCACTATAGGTGAGATTTCTTCAGCTCTTAATGGTTGAGGCACTGAGTTTTCCAATGAGGGAAGAGGATTGCCGTCCTATCCTATCAAGAGTGAGTGATAACATGAAAAATTTTAATTCTTGGTATTCACTTCCCAGAACAGGGTATTTCATAGCAAAAATGTGACTTGTCGGACTTGTCAGTTCTATACTGCACTCTCACTGAGTCAAGGATGTGTCAGCTTAGAGATTATTTTTAGGCCAGAGTTGGCTTCTTAGCCGTATCATATTACTGAGAAGCTGTATCAGAACTGACATTGGCAAATTGGGCAAGGGAGGAAAAGAAGAAATAGGACAAGATAATGTCTCAGGCAGGGAAATACCAAAGAATTAAAGATGATTTTGAGGGAAAACTGAAAGCAAGGTTTAGATTCTTTTCACTGTTTGATAATGACTGATGGAACATCCATATACCTGTCCAGATACATCACATTTCCTAGTTTGTCTCTGTTTTTATGCTCAGAAGAAAACCTACACAGACAGTCATATTTGTGATACTATGTGTAGATACTTCTAGATGCATAGATTTCTTTCCTGTTCAGCCCTCAGAGATGCAGTGGGAGATTCTGGGCGTCCTCTGCAGTGATTGTTTTCGGGTTGTGTTCTTCAAACCCTGTAATTCCTTGGGCACGTTTGGGCAAAGGAAAGCTTAAGGAGCAGGACTCTGCTGTGCTTTGCCACTTTCTCCGCTTCCACCAGGGCAGCTCCTTTTGATCTTTTTGCATATGGTGCTTCCTCCCATGAGATTTTATTAGAAGAAAGGGTTCTGTTTGTTAAAAAGAAAGAAAGAAACAAACACTCCTGGCAAGAATAGATCTGCTTTGCATTTTAACATGAAAACCAGTGAGAGTGGTATCCTGGAGACTGCGAAGTCTCCTAGAGAAGTGTCGCCTTGGTCAAACTCTTTAAACTCTATGGCGGCCTTGGAGTCTTTTCTTTTTATACATGTCTTTTATTGGATATTAATTCTCGGCTAGGAAATGGAAGGGTTCACCAAGGATGTTTTCAGTAGGAAGAAGCACAGCACCAGAGAGCCAGGGTCTGGAAGGCAAGAGGCATCTTCTGTGATGACTTCTTTCAGCTTTGCTGTTGCAGCCTTGAGGTCTGTAAGGAAAGCGGCAGCTGAATAAAGCTGTCAACACCATAGCAACTCTAGTAATGCTGTGTTTCTCCACACTGAAATATTTGGTGTAACTCCAAGCGTAAGCTGTTTGGAAAGCTCCGAAGATGCTTTTGGGGTATAATCCCACGTTGCTGGCAAGCTTTAGTAGCTCTTCTAATTTAACAACCACATGGCTCTGATCTTTAGCAGTACAGATGATGGCATCTTGGACTCTTGGGTCTGCATAGGGGCTGCCCTTGGAGATTTGTTTTAAGAGAATGTTCAGAACTAACTGCTGTCTGTAATCTCTTGTAGTTTTGTGTAACAGATATTTAGTATTTACTTTGTATCAGGTACTGTTTCTAAGTACTTGAAAAGCAGGTACTATTCCCATTTTGTAGGGAAAGAAGCTGAGACACAGGTTAAATGGCTTGCGAAAGGTTATACAGGGAGTTTGAAGGAGAAAAACCTCTTACTTAAAACTGTGCTTGAGTTTGATAGGATAATAGAGTCCTTTAAGTTCCGTAAGGTTTTTTCTTTATATTTAAGGTTTTGAGGTACAGGAAGAAGGTTACCTGGCAAAAATCCTGGTCCCTGAAGGCACGAGAGATGTCCCTCTAGGAGCCCCGCTCTGCATCATTGTAGAAAAAGAGGCAGATATACCAGCATTTGCTGACTATCGGCCAACTGAAGTCACTGATTTAAAGCCACCAGCACCGCCACCTACCCCGCCCCTGGTACGTATGCGTCTGGAATTGAGGAAGCAGTTATCTTACCTCTAAGTTAAGGGATTAAACCAGATGATACTCCAGGTTTCTTCCAGCTCGAAGATTCTGTGAAGAAGGAAAGAGATGGGTACCATTTGTGGAGACCTGCAGGGTCTATGGCACTGCACCACCCACCTGCTGGTCAATAGCTGGACTCTTGTAGCTTTTTTTTTCTCCTACTGTCTTGAGTCCTGCCAGGAACAAAGCGCAGGTGACATATTCTTTTCATGCTTTAGTTATAGACATGCATGTGGAAGGTGATGCTTCGTCACCCGTTTTCTGTAGAATTTATGCCGTCAGTCCCCTTAGAATTCACATATTATAGTAGATCAAGCTTATATTTGTAATACATTGGGAACCATGGCTTTTTTTTGCATAGTTTAGTCTGTCATTATACGCTGTGTACCATATACCTGTAACATGAACTTGTATGAATTCCAAGTATTGATAACACTGTAATGATACTTCCGCAGGTGTAAAATCATGTGAATTTAATTAGACTAGGGACACGTTTCTGTCAGGGAAAACTTGATTTCTGGCTGCCATACATTTACGGGGAGCTGGCAAGTGGTAGCATTGTTGTATTTTTTTAATGTATTTTCAACATGGAACCTTCCAGCATAATTTATTATTTGGAAATTAGGTTAAGTAAAAACAAAAACCATGTTGGTGACATAAGAGAATGAGAATAAAGGAGCAAGAGATTAAAGTAAAAAAAGGCTATACTGGTCACTAGAATTAAATTCCATGCCTCTCCATGTTATCATGGAGTAAGATAACTTGACTTTGTTCTATCTTTGACATAAAATAATGCTACTACTATTCGTATTGCTGTACTTGTTAGGCAGGAAAAAGTGTGCATCATGACCCTTGGAGAAGACATGAAAGTTATTTAATTAAAGTAGGTTTGACATCTTAATTAAAGATAAATCTTAGTTTTTCAGATCAACCCTTGCAGTGGTGAATTAACAATTGGTAACTTATTTCAAAAGGCAGCCCCTGTTCCTCCAGCTCTCCAGCCTGCAGCCCCTACACCCGCAGCCCCTCGCCCAGCTGCTCCTGCTGGACCCAAGGGAAGGTTGTTCGTTAGTCCTCTTGCAAAGAAGTTGGCAGCAGAGAAAGGAATTGACCTTACGCAAGTTAAGGGTAAGCCTGTCTCTGTGGAATGGGGGTGTAAAGCTAAAACTTAGTTGAGCTTCCTCCTTAAGACCAGCAAGTACAACTGTGTATGGTCGTCTTACCTGGAATAGTGGGGTAAGGATGAGGGAGGGAAGTACCTCCTTTGGTGTCACCACAGAGTAGGAGAACTTACTGTGCTTTCTGTAGTCTGTCTAGGATCTACCTATATAGTTGAGATAGCTTTTGTCATTTTCCGTTAACGGGAACTGCTTAATTATTGATGAAAGTACGGTGTGTTTGTACAGCAGAGTTGGGTTTTAGGACCTGATTATATAATAAGAAACCTGTTGGTGCTGGGCTGATTGAATGTAGCAATACGCAAAACACAACATGAAGTTGAGATGATTTGAAATGACTTAAAATGATAACTTCTATATAAAACTGAGCTAACTCTCCTTGTGGGCAAAGGAGAATGTCTTACTCATCTTTTTCTTCCCCAAAACAAAGTGTAGCTTAGTGATAAGAGCATGGGATCTTGAATTTGAGCATCCACAGTTTAATCCTGTTTGTATCATTTTCTGTGTAATGTCTTTAGATGAATTACTTAATCCATTTGTTTTTCTATTCTTAAAACTGAGATAATAGTTTACATTAAAATAAATAAAGTACTTAGAGCAGTATCTAGAATATAGTAAGTACTCAATTCCTGTTAATTTTGTCCATATTATTATTATTGACTGGCATTTAAATGTTTTAAGCTAAAATTAAAGCTAAAATTTAATGTAAGGTATGTATGTATGATTAGAATCAGGGATAGCAGATTAAGTTGGAATATACTTCAAGGGGAGAAGGGACTGGATTAATAACTGTATCTGAAGAATTTGGACTGGTAAAGAAGGACCATTTATTAGATATTTGGCAATACTGGCCACCTTATGACAGATTTAAGTGGAAAAAATCCCAATATTCTTATCATGCAGATTAGGTGATTCATTTATTTAAGCAAATATTCATTGAGCATTGTCTGTGTATCTAACACTTACTCATAAGCCAGACAAGATTCCAGTTTCAGATGTTTATAATACCAACAATTAAGAATTAAATGGACGGAGAGTATAGCATGGTAGTTAAGAGTATGTGCTCTGGAGCTGGAATGCTTGGGTTCAAACCCAGCTCAGCCGTCACTAGGTGTGTCTTGGCTTCTTCATTTGTATACAAAAATAACACTATAAGCTTGTGGGGATTAAATAAGTTAATAAACAGTGCCGGGTGGGGAGGGTATAGCTCAAGTGATAGAGCACTGTGCTTAGCATGCATGAGGGCCTGGATTCAGTTCCCACTACCACCACTAAAAATAAGCAAACCTAATTATCCTCCCCCACCAAAATAAAATAATTAAATAATAAATAAATATTAAAAAAAATAAACAAACAGTGCCTACATATAGAAAGCATATATAGGTATTGGCTGTGATGATAGTAATAACTCACTGAATAAGGTGATTTGAGTGCTAAGAAGAAAGTAAACCAAGTGATACACTAGTGAGTGACAGGGGAAGTATATGAGCAGGCATGACTGCTTTTGGACGGGGTGGTTGGGAAAGATGTTTCTGATGAGGTGACATTTGATCTGACCTGAAAGATGAGGAATCAGCTCTTGTGAAGAACCGGAGGAAAAGCATTTGAGGCAAAGACCAGTCTGAAGTGGGAAAGAGCTTGGTGTGTTTGAGGGACCTAGAGGAGGCCAGTGTTACTGGAGCATAGTGAGCAGAGGGTCCAGTGATAGGAGGTGAGGTTAGAAAGAAACTCAGCACTGGGAACGTAACAGACTTGACAGGTTATGATAGAATTTGGATTTGTAGGAAGCCATTGAAGGTTAAAACAAAGAAGTGACTTAAGATGATTTCTATTTTTAGAAGATCATTTTGGCAGCTCTTCGCAAATGGATTAAATGAGAGCCAAGGCACCTGTTAAGATGCTGTTGCTGGAGCTGATGATGGTGGCTTAGACTCGGGTGGTGAGAGTAGAAATGGGAAGAAATGGACAGCTTCAATATGCATTTCTGATACAGAATCAACAGAACGTAGTCAGGAATTGGATATGGAAACTTGACAGCAGTAATCTCAGAAGAAATGTACAGTGGAGGCCAGTCTGGAAGGGTTGCAAAGTGGAAAGTGGATAAGTAGCTGGAGATAGCATTGTAGACAGCTTATTCAAGGAGCTCTGCTGTGAAGGAGGGCATAGAAATAGAAATATATAGCTTTTAGGGGAGGATACGGGCTCAAGGGAGGGCTTTTGGAAATGAGTGGTAGTAGAGTGGGTTTGGTGTGGAATTTCTCAGCTGTGGCACTGTTGGCATTTTTGACCAGATGATTCTTTGTTGGTGGCGGTGGTGGGTGGGGGTCGTCCTGTGCACTGTAGCGTGTTTAACAACATCCTTGGCTTCCACCTGCTACCTGGTAGTAGCATTTGTGACAACCAAACTATTTTTAAACATTGTCAAATGCCCCCTTGGGGGCAAAATTGCCCTAGTTGAGATCCAGTGGCCTAATAGAAAGGGATAAATTGATGATGCAGAAAGGGAGAGAGGGCAGCATAATTTGGCAAGGAACAAAGCTTTTGAGAATGTAAGAGGGGATGGGATTGGTTTGGGGAAGAATTAGGACATTCTGTCGATTTTTATAGGAGGGAGGAGAATATGGGGTGGGTTTTTAGGTTTGGTGGTGGAAGAAGAGAGTACTTCTCTGGTTCTGCTATTTGATCAGTGAAGTGTAAAGTGAGGGGGTCCGCTGGAGAAGGAGTATGGGAGGAGCTTGGTTAGAGAGGATGAAATAGTGTTCTCAGAGATTGGGAAAGTGAAGTCAAGGGAAACATAATTGAAATTCTGGGTAGTTTTGTGTGTCTGTTTTAGGTTTGTGCCTTTGAATTTATAGTACAGTCAGTCAGCCAGGTGTGTACTTTTCCTTCCAGCAGTAACAAGCTACTCTGGTGCTGGCATTGAGAAGGCAAATGTTGTAGAGTGTGACTAGGAAGTGATTACAACAGTGACCCGTTGAGTGGAAGCTGAGCGAGGAGGAAGTGAAGACCAGAGGCTGACGGCAGATGATGAGAGCAGAGGAGTCAGTGGAGGTCTTGATGAAGTCAAAGAAATGTTGCAGTAGCGGGAGGGGTGGTCTAAAATAAGTGAGCTGAGAGGACCAGTGATTGATGTTTTTTGACATCGCTTCTGACACTAAACGTAGGTTTTTTTTTCCCATACCAACGGTCAATTCTCTGATACCACCTGGATATCCAACAATTCAGTCCTATTCCAACACTGACTGTCCACAGTTAGCATCAGACCCACAGGTCTGAGGGCTCAGTCCCACAAGTCTGCCCCTTTGGATGCCAGTTGCAAGTCCTTGGGACCACCTATCTTCTGACCCACTGGCTGTAGACCAGGGGTTCCCACAACCTCCTCCTTGGATTCAGTAGTTGACTAGAATGAGTCAGACACACAGAACTCAGGAAAGCACTCTGCTTACTATTGCCAGTTTATTATAAAGGATACAACTCAGGAACGGTCACATAGAAGAGATGCATAGGACCGGGTAGGGGGTTGTGCTGGAGTGGTGGAGGGCTTCCATGCTCTCTGTGGGAGCACTGCCCCCTCACGTGCATTAATGTGTCCACCAGCCCAGAAGCTCTCCAGATCTTGTTCAAGATTTGTTTTTATAGGGGTTGATAATTATTTTTATAGGCATGGTTGATTGTATCATTGGCTATTGGTTGTTGGACTCAGTCTCCAGTCCCCACTCCTGCCTTCCCCCAGGGACAGGCTGCTTAGCAAATTTGACTAAAATGTATTCATTTGGGAAGAAACTGCTTTGAAAGCCTAAAGCCTGGTGTCCAGAGTTGGATTTGTCTCCGTGCTACCCATATTATGGTTTATATTTCTTTGATGCCAAGCACTTTCCTATCACTATTCCATTTTATCCTCACAACATTCCTGTGAGCAGTGGCTGATAATCTCTATCCTTCAGATGAAATTGGAGACCAGATAGGATTAAGTGCCTGTAGTCATCTGTCTAGTCTATGTTTGACGACAACCCTGTATTTTTCTCTCCCAGTCTAGTATTCTTCCCTCCATACTGTATTGCTTTTTGATGGCCTGTTGTGCCTTCTTCAGGAGATAGGCAAAAGAATTGAAAAGATTTCAGATACTAATAGTCAGCAAGTTCTTATGGTGGCTGAAGCTTAGTAGAAGGCGGGTGGTACTGCAGTTTCCTCCCCTTCAGGGGCCGCAGTGTCCGGATCAGCCTTGGCTGTATGGGGAGGTTATGGTTTCTGTCTTTCATAAAGGAGCGGAATCTAACAGGGGTACTGCTGCTTCTGTTCTAGATAAACAGTCCTAGCCAACTCAGTTTCCATAATGAAGGAAAGGAGTTGGGATGAACCGCACACAATGAGAATCCTTTTAGAAGTCTGCCTTGGGGCAAGAGGAATCAATTTGACCCTTTTGTTTTTTCCCTAGAAGTGGGCCAATGTAAGAGTTATTTTAAAAACTAAATTCTGTATCTCCTTAGAATTAGGGTTCAGGATTTTCTACCTGGGTCTGAAGTTAAACATGAGAGGTTGTGGATGGAAGGAAGAAGGAAATTGAATGAAACAAAATTAAACCTGTTGAGGGATCTTTGAAGATCTTTCCTTGTGGGTAACATGGCACCTATTTCCTTCACAGTCTCTTAACACAGGCCAGTTGAGAGCCTTGGCTACTGTGAAAAGCTGCAAATGATGGAGACCACAGAAGGAATGAATGGGTCTAAAGAAGAGATCATTGCATCTGAGAGTTATTTATTCTATTTCAGGGTGAAAAAATTGACTTGCCTGATTTGTCCGAAACAGTTGTTACTGTATCTGTGGACTCTGTAACAAAGGGAATTCTTTATGATCAAATGAATCTAGGACCCTAAATGAGATCTATTTCAGGGTTCAGAAAGGGTTTTTTGGAGCTAACCAGAAGGAGGCAGCTAGACTTCCTTTTGGAGCTAAAAATTGTACTCAGAATTATCCTGATGCTGGTATTTCCCAATTTAAAGAAGATGAAAAAATAAAGTACAGCTTAATTAGATAAAACTCTTAAAGAGAAATGCTTAAAATAAAATAAGAATTGTTGTAGTTAAGAACCACTGACAGATCAAGCAAGAGCACTTGGTGTGAATTAAAATTAGTAATTGACAAAAGGTAGTATTTTTAGGGAAAACTTGAAGGGACAGGGTTAAGGCAGTGGCCCCTTCGAAAGTCTTTGGTATAGAGCCTTCAAGAACTTGCACTTGAGGATCACAGTGCTGACCTCCTTGGGAGCCAGCAGTACACCTCACACGTGGTATTTATGTGTCTCTTCCAGGGACAGGACCAGAAGGCAGAATCATCAAAAAGGACATCGACTCCTTTGTGCCTGCGAAAGCTGCTCCTGTGAGTTATATTTGGCTTTTCTCTCTCTCTCTTTTTTTTTTTTGGTTGGAATTTGTCCCTGCAAGTGCTTTTTGTCCAGCCTGTTAGACCTTTGCATACATTATATATGAATGAAATAGCTTAATCAGAACTGTGTTTTCTTTGGTCTAATTTCACTGGCTAGCAATATATAGATATGAATGTGCTGTCATTCATACACAAAAACATTCCAATGCATTCCAAATTGGGTTTTTGGGGTTTTTTTTGAATATGATACTAAATTTTTCTTAACACATTATCTCCTCATTCAAGCCCTATTTTTAAAAGCATGCTTGCAAGTTGGTTGCCTGCGATTTGAGTTTTATGTGGTTAATTGGTCCACAGAGGGATCAAATCCACATAGCCAACTCTGTTTTGATCAATAAAGGTGCTAAGATAACCAGTTATGTAAGTAAGGAAAATGATTTATTTAGATGTTTGCTTTAAAATGAAAGATTTGTCAGTGTTTTTTCTTAACACTGTTCAGGAAAATGAATTACCTTGTTCATATTTCTGTCTTGATCCTTTCAACTTAAGAATGCTTTGATTGCTTTTCTTGAAGATATTTTTGCAAAAACAAAATTATCTTAACATAAATAGTCATTGAATTATACTCTGGCTCAAAGAAAAATGACACTTAAAAAATGATTACAGAATTCTAAGTGTGGAAATTAAAAATAAAGTTCTTAAACAAGCACGGCCCAAATCTGAGTCCCTTTTGCTCCCTTGGGGTAGAAATAGCAATTTTTATATAAGCCTTTTAATTTCTACTTTGCCATCTGTAAACGAGTCACAAGCATTTGTTCCCAGTTGCTTCTGCTAAGACTAAGCCACAGTTACTAAGAGCTTTTTTACCTCCTTCTAGGCTCCAGCAGCTGCCGTGCCTCCCCCGGGGCCGGGAGTGGCACCGGTTCCTGCAGGTGTCTTCACGGATGTCCCAATCAGCAACATTCGCCGAGTAAGAGTCTTAGCTCCGCTCTAGAACCAGAGCTGCTGGGTCATCTTTACTCAATTGTTCAGTTGCATCTGTAGTTTGAAACACTAACAAGAGACTTAGAAATTGGGAATCTTAAGTCTTTAGTTTAAGAGGTGTTTGGTTTGGCCAGCTGAATTCTTGGGGTACACAGACAGTGTGTTCTGATCAAACACTGCGGAAGGGGCCAGGTTGGCGCAGCCTTCCATCTTCCACTTCTAATGCTGCTTGAGGCGAGCATTACCAGTGAGCAGGGTAAAAGGCAAACAGAGCCCTGAATTGGATGAGGTCTCATCTCAACTCAAGATAATGATTTTTGACTCTCTCTTGATTTCAGGTTATTGCACAGCGGTTAATGCAGTCTAAGCAAACCATACCTCATTATTACCTTTCTATCGATGTAAATATGGGAGAAGTTTTGTTGCTACGGAAAGAACTTAATAAGGTACAAGGTTTGGAAATTCCAACTCTGTAAATTCTAAAAAGTTTGTTTTCCCTCACTAAATACTTAACATTTTTGCCTGTATTTTTTTGTTACTAAATGCCAGTTGATGATGGAAAATGAGTGTCATCTTAATTTTAACTTGCAGAGAGTATCCTGGAGAAGTTTCGTTTTCTAACTCTTGATTAAAGCTTATCCTTAAAGTTGACTTTACCATGGACCCATTTTAGCCTAGCAGAATCACTATGATTCTGGGGGACTTCTTGAGTCTCTTGGTAGGTAAGAAACAGTTTGTTTACTTTGTGTTTATAGTTAAGTACCAAACACCTACTTAGTGTTTAGCATAAAGCACTTTTGGGAACACAGCCTAAGGCATAGTCCTTCTCCATGAATTTATAACCTAATTGAGGAGATAAATGCATGTGAAAAAGAGGAGGCAATTTTATGAAAGTAGAAATACTCATGTGTAGGTCAGCTTCTTTATGATAATGCCCCTTGTCTGCTGCATTACATTGTATAGGTTAAGTGTTAACAGGAGTTCAGAGAAGGGGAAGCCTAGGGCAAGTAGTTGGAGAATTCACAATGGTGTAGGGGAAACTTGGTTGGGTTGTGGAGAATAGGAAGGGTTTAAATTGGCAAAGAAGTTGAAGAAAGTTCATTCTGATGACGTAAAGGTAAAGTGCTTTAAGAAAAGGAAGTAAGTATATGTGGGAGATAGGTTACCTTTTCTAGAAGGAATACACAGTTAGTTGTTGGCTTAGGAAAGACCTTGATATACAAGCACAAGAAGTTGCACTTGAATTAGACATTAGGAAACCAGTGACATGATACCAGTATTTTAAGAAAGATACAGATACAGTAGATACCGGCACACTTTCATGTCGGAGACTAGTCATACTTGTCATGTAAGCGTGAAGTGATGGTGCTAAAGGCCTGGACGGGAGGGTTGCACTCCGAATGGGGCAGGAGAGGGGGCTATGAAAGATAATTGCAAGGAAGTGAGTAAGTAAAAGCCAGACTCCTTAGGGTGGCACAGGGGGCCTCACACAGGTTATCTGTAACCTCTAGTCTCCTGTCCGACTTTCCCACTTGCTCACTCTGCTCGGACACGCGGTTGCCTTGCTCCTCCTCTGCACTCCAGCTGTGTACTCCTGTTTTAGGCCCTTTGCACCTGCTGTTCCCTCCGCATGGCACACTCTTCCTCTAGTATCCACTTGGCTTCCTCCTTCACTTCCTTAAGGATTTGACTCAGTATCACCTCCCCTGATTTTCCCCCTTATTCTGAAATTAAGGGAAGAGGCGTGGGGTGAGTGATCAGTTCTCCCTTTAGTTCATTTTCCCTATTTTATTTTTCTCCTCAGCACTTAACACCACCTAGCATACTGTGTTTCACTCTTTTATAATCTACTCATCCTCTTTAGAATATAAGCTCCCTGAGAATAGAATTTTTACCCTTTTTTTAAACTGCTTAATATCCAGGACTTTAGAGTTATATGTCTAGATATAATAGATACAATATATATATGCCTAGATATAATAGACCCTCAAATGTTAGATGCATGAAGGAAGCGAGCAAGCAGTGAAACAAGCGAGCAAGCAGTGAAACAACATCAAAACTTTGTAACTGGCTACAGGGGTTAAAGATGATAGCATACTGTTACTGTCAAAATAGCAAAGCTGTTTTCAATAAATTTATTTGGAAATTAGACATAGAAAATGTATGTTCAATGTATTATTTTATTCAGTTCTTTTAAACAGCTTTATTCAGCTGTAATTCACATTCCATACCATTCACCCATTTAAAGTTTGCAATTTAGTGTTTTAGTGTATTCAGAGTTGTGCAACCATCATCACAAATTTTAGAACATTTTCATTATCCCAGTTTACTTCTTGTAGATTTCATTTCCAGATTGTTCATTGCTATTGCATAGAAACAGTTGATTTTGTGTAGTGATCATTTGTCCTGCAACCTTTTTTAGTGTGTTCCTTAGGATTTGGATTTTCCTTATACACTTCATGTCATCTGCAAAGGGAGAGAGTTTTGCTTTTGCCTTCCAGTCTGGATGCCTTTTATTTCCTTTTCTTTCCTAGTTTCTCTGGGTAGCACATCTCGTACAATGTTGAGTAGAAGTGGCAAGCGTGGACATCCTTGTCTTGTTCTTGATCTCAGGGGAAAATAAGTCTTTCACTACTGAAGTATGACGATGATTGTGGAGTTGTCATAGATCGATTTTATCATCAGGTTGAGGAAGTTCCCTTCTGTTCCCAGTTTGTTCAGTGTTTTTATCATGAAAGTGTGTTTAATTTTGTCAAAAGATTTTTCTCTGTATTTTGAGGTGGTCCATGTGTTTTTGTTCTATGTTCTATTAGGACATTATTACATTAATTGATTTTCATGTGTGAAACCAGCTTTGCATTCCTGGGCCTAATCATATTGGGTCATGGTGAATAACCCTTTTCATATATAGCTAGATTTGGTTTGCTAGAATTTTTTTTTTTGAGGATTTTCATATCATGTATTCATAAGAGATATTGGTCCATAGTATTTTCTTCCCTTTTATATTGTGATATTTTCATCTGATTTTGGTTATTAGGCTAATATCAGCCTCATCGAATGAATGGGGAAGTGTTCCCTCCTCTTCTGTTTTTTGGGAAGTGTTTGTGAAGAATTACTATTCTTCTTTAAATTTGGTAGAATTCACCAGTGAAGCCATCTGGGTCTAGGTTTTTCTGTGTGGGGAGTTTTAAATTACCAGTTCAGTCTTCTTACTAGTTATAGGTCTTTTCAGAAGTTCTGTTTCCTTTTTATTCAGTTTCGGTAGTTTGTGTCTTTCCATGAGTTTGTCCATTTCACCTGGGTTACCGAGTTTGTTGGTGTTTGGTTGTTGATGGTGTTACCTATAATCCTTTTTATTTCTGTAAGGTAGATAGTAATACCCCCTACTTGATACTTGATTTTATTTTCTTCATTTCTGATTTTAGAAATTTGAGTCTTCTTTTTCTTTGTCTAGCTAAACATTTGTCATTTTGTTGTTGTTTTCCTAGGACCAACTTTTGGTTTGGTTGAAATAAATGAAAATGAAGACATACCATAACTTACGAGATGCAACTAAAACAGTTCTTAGCCAGAAACTCACAGCTATAATGGGCTACATTAAAAAAGAAGGAAAAACCAACTTTTGGGTTCTTTTCATCCTTTCCACCTTGGGACATTTGTATATCCACCCCCTCCCATCTTCTCAAGATTATATATATAGTTTTAGTCTTTGAGAAGAGAATTTAAGAAACTACAATGGTTTCTTGTCTTTGCAGATGTTAGAAGGGAGAAGCAAAATTTCTGTCAATGACTTCATTATAAAAGCTTCGGCTCTGGCATGTTTAAAAGTTCCTGAGGCAAATTCTTCATGGCTGGACACCGTTATAAGACAGTAAGTATAACACTGCTGGGAAGGTGTATACATATCCATCAGCAGGTTTCTTGTGTTATCTAATGTATCATCAGGAGTGTGAGGAATAAGGAGAAACAGTAAAGAGAGGGAGATGACTTCCACAGCAAAACAGTTTGAAACCAACATAAAACTATTTATGAGATAATGCTAAATTTATTCAGGAAAGACATCAGATTCTTTGTATACATTTAGGAAAGGGAGATAAGTGTACAGATATATATCATTAAGTTGATAATGACTTAATTCACAAAGCAGGATTGAAATGGTTTTGTTCACCAATCAGTTTTGCTGAACTTTAGGGGGGCAAAATTGAAGACAGAACCAAAAAACAGTATTTGTTGATACTATAAAGGTGTGTGACTGCCGTGGTGCTCTTAGTGTCTTTCACGTGTTATCTCATTTAATCCTTATGAGTTGGGTGCTTTTACTCCCATTTTCTAGATGAAGAAATTGAGGTTCAGTAAATGGAGTAACTCCCTGAGTTAATATGTTAGTAAGTAGCAGAACTGTGATGGGAACCAGGATTCTGGCTCCTAAGCCTGGCCTTTTTCTACTGTGCAGACTCTTTTATATTAATTTAATTTTTATTAGAATAATAGTATATACATTAGAATATTGCTCCCTGACTTACAGTGACCTCCTCAACCTTTGAGCTGAGGTCCACTCCCAGAGGCAAACACAACTTCTAAACTATTATTTCTTCTGGTATTTACCTTCATATTTCTAAATAACATTTTCCTGTTGCCTTTTATAAATTTTTACTTTATCAACTGACTTCCTATTAAAGAAGGTTAAGATTTAGCTTCCTTGTACTCTCTGTAAACACATACACACACACATACACAGCTCATCATCTTACCAAGTTGATTATAGCAGTTTGGACAAATTGGACAAATCAGTATTCAGTGTTAATATTTTTATCACTATGAGACATTATTTATGACTAAGAAAGCAGTATACCGTGAATTCTAACCTTATGTTAATGATTGCCTAAGAAGGGGCCAATTTTTTAAGCACTCATCATGAATTCTTCCTGAAATCCCCAAGAGAACTCTAAGCTGTTTTCAGTCTTGTCAAACACATCAGTAATCTGCTGATTCTGATTTTCCCTTGGTCCCTCCACGCTTGGAGAACATCTGAGGGTCTTACTATTCCTTAGAAACTGTATTATCCTAGGGCTGCCATTATAAGTTACCACAGAATTGGTGGCGTAAAACAAAAGTTCATTCTCTCATAGTTCTGAAGGTCAGAAGTGTGAAATTCAGGTGTCAGCAGGGCTGCGCTCCCCCTACCCCCTAGGCTCTAAGGTAGACTCTTCACTGGCTTTCTCCAGTTCTGGGGGCTCCAGGCGTTCTGGGCTTGTGGCTGCATCAGTCCAGCTTCATATGACCTTCTGTGTGTCCAAGTCTTCTCTTCTGTCTCTTATAGGACACTGGATTTAGGGCATACCTGGATAATCCAGGATGACCTCATCTCAAGATCCTAATTACACCTTTTTACTAAATAAGGTCACATGGATGGATTCTGGGATTAAGACACAGACATATCTTACAGAGCACTGTTACAAACATTTGCATACAGTTCTCTGTGTTGACATGTTCTCATTTCTTGTAGATTTCTTGGAGTGGAATTGCTGGGTCATAGAGCAAATTTATGTTTAACCTTTTAAGAATATCTGAAGGGGACACTTCTTAGATGAAGGGATGGAGGTTGAAGGGCAAGTTCTATGAATTATTTATTAATCTTTACCAAATGCCTTTCACTCATTTGTTCATTCAGCTGTTCAACAAATATTTATTGAACATATACTGTTTTCTGGATTTAGTGATGAACAAGATAGGAAATACCATCTTTACTCTCTTAGGAGGAACATTATAGGCTAATATTGTGATAACGGGATAATTTAATTAAGAAAGCAGTACTTTCTGGGTCCTTGGCCCAGAGCCCAGCTGTAGTAGCTGATAAGTGTCACACACTGTATTATTACGGTAGGTCCCTGTGTTTGCGAGTGACAGAAGCCTGCTGCCTTTTGCCAGCTTAGGTACATTGAGGGATTTGGTACCCATAAGTTTCTAAAGTTTGCCTGGAAAGAGCTGGATTTCTTCCTTCATGTGAAATTTTAACTTTTTCTTTTCTTTTTTAATTTAAGTATAGTTGATTTTTACAGTATTATGTTAGTTTCAGCATAGCGATTGGTATTTTTGCAGATTATACTCATTATAAGTTATTATAAAATAATGGTTATAATTCACTGTGCTATACAATATATCTTTGTTGCTTATCCGTTTTTATACATGGTAGTTTGAATCTTTTAATCCCACACCTATCACTGCTCCCTTCCCTCTACCCTTTGGTAACCACTAGTTTGTTTTCTTTATCTGTGAATCTGCTTCTGTTTGCATGTACATCCATTTGTGTCATATTTTAGATAGCACATATAAATGATGATCATATAATATTTGTCCTTGTCTGACTTACTTCACTAAGTGTAATATTCTCAAGGTCTGTTCACATTGCTGCAGATGGCAGAATTCATTTTTTATGGCTGAGTAATATTCCTCTGCGTGTGTCTTTGTGTGTCTGTGTGTCTGAACATGCACATGCGCGCGCACACACACACACACACACACTACATCTTTATCCAGTTGTATGTTGATGGGTACTTGGATTGCTTCCATGTCTTGGCTGTTGTAAATAGTGCTGCTGTGAACTTTGGGGTGCATATATCTCTTTGAATTAGTGTGTTTGATTTTTCCTGATATACACCCACAAGTGGGATTGTTGGATCATATGGTAGTTCTATTTTTAGTTTTTTGAGGAACCTCCCTGCTGTCTTCCATAGTAGCTGTACCAATTTACATTTCCACCAGCAGTGTGTAAGGGTTCCGCTTCTCCACATTCTTACCAACATTTGTTAACTTTCCTTGATTGCAGAACACATTAGTAGGGGCCCTTACACAGACCTCAAGGAGACTGTGATACAATTCAGGAGGTTGGGAACTTGGGAAAAATTCTTTTCTACTAACTTCTAACTAAAATTTAGCATTTCCTCCTATGATAAACATAGAGAGCAAATCAAGGAGGTATTAACAGTACTTGTGCTGGTGACAAAGTAAAAATCGAGTATTTTCATATCACACTGTTGTTGCAGACGTCTTAATAAAATACTGTTTTGCGTATCATCACTTCAAAATTAGGGCCTTTATTAGACCTGCTGCAAGATGTTAGTAAGGAATTAATACAGAAATGCATATATCACAGTTTTGTTTTTTAACTAGTTTGATAACTGAATTTCAATATAGTTCTGGGGAATTTCTTTTGTTTCTTTCTGGGGAGTTTTGTTTGTTTTTGCAATTTGAATATTTTATTTTCTGTGTTAAAAAAATACATTCTGAGAAGGGACCCAAATATAAAGGTGCCCATGTGTAGAAAAGATTAGGAATCCTACCTTTATGTTTTGAGACACCACCACCCTGTACCCTAAACCCTCCTGTTTCTCCCACAGTGTGGCCCTTTCCCTCCGCTCTTTCTTTCATCTGCTCAAGCTCTGCTTACAGACTCAGCTCCAGCCAGTCCACATCATTCTCACTGAATGCTGGGCCTTTTTGCCCCCACCTACACCCATCCATGTAGTAGTCAGAGCAGATGTGGGGAGGTAGAGAGTACATATGAAACCAACCTACTGATGCATTTCTCACTGATTTTTAAAAATTACAAGTCAAGGAGAGGGCAGAGAAAATGTAAAAACCAGGAAAGATCTCTCTCTGGCTGAAAAGTAGCACAGACTGAAGTAAATACCAGTAATCTTGCTTATTAATCTGACTCATAAACTCCTAATAAACATGGCTGATGAGTATTGAGAGTTTTCTTTTTTTCTTTCTAAATAGAAACCATGTTGTTGATGTCAGCGTTGCAGTCAGTACTCCTGCGGGACTCATCACACCCATTGTATTTAATGCACATATAAAAGGACTGGAAACTATTGCTAACGATGTTGTTTCTTTAGCAACCAAAGCCCGAGAGGGTAAACTACAGCCACATGAGTTCCAGGTAAGGTATTACTTATATACCTTCTGAATATTATTGTGTTACTTTAATGAATTATGTTTTTGTCAGGTCAGCATTATGCTTTAATTGCATTTTCCACCTTTCGATTCTGCCTTGAATTCTCACTGACACAAGGTCCTGAAAATAAAAATCGAGTATCCTGTCAAAAGCTGAAAGTATGATGCCTTCTAGGTAGTGTGCAAAAGCCACACAGGTGACTTTGTTGATGTTGTGTATTTTCAGTAAAATGTGTTCCATTCAGGCCTTTCTTTTTTTCTTTTCAGCTTTATTGATGTATAATCAGGAAATAGGAATTGTTTGTGTTTAAGGTGTACAACTTGCTGCTTTCATATATGTACACACTGACGAGATGCCAACAGGCT